CCTATAAATTTTCTAAGATTTTTGGATTTTATTGTTTTTACTTTGGGGAGAGAAAGAATTATAACTGTAGCATTAATGAAAGAAAACACTTATTATAAAAGAAAACTTCATTAGGTAGACTTTTAAAGAATTTTGATTCTTAAGGTAACTTTGATTTTTAAATATCTAATTTCAGACCTTTATGGAAAGTCTTATTCAATGTCAATAAATAAAAGTTTCATGAAACACAAGTGGGGGAAAATATATAAATAACATACATGAGAATTTAGTGTCCTTGGCTTTGAAAATAAAATCCTTGTGGTGAGTACAAATCTATTAATGCCATAGGTATTTGATGTGGCAGATTATAAAGTTGGCTATAATTTTTTAGTGCCTTCTATAAAGAATTTGAGTCTATTTTCGAGCCCATGACTCTGGGCTGAATTTATGACACTTTTGATGAATTGAACTTGGCAGAAGTGACAGTTTGAGAGTTCTGTTCCTGGGCCTCCAGAAAATTTTTCTGTTTCCACTTGTTCTTTAAAACCTGTGACTACTATATGAACAGGGTAAAACTCCCCACATAAGAATGCCAGCTCAGGTGAAGAAGAACTGTGTGCCTCAACTGCCACACTGTCTGTCCATAATTGTTTAACAATTTTATGTAGTTGAATGATGAGTACCAGAGAAGACTGGTCATTACTGGCAAGCTACTGCTACAAGCAATGTAATGATGAACCTGAGGAAGATTTCTGCTAAAGCGATGCATGCATGTCTTTAAGGTATATGCTATGTACAGAAGTAGAAGCTCTGCATCACAGACATCCGTTAAATAATGTTAAATGTTACCTTGAGTGGCTGCATGGTCAGAAACTCACTTTACCCCAAAATTGCCACATTCAGCCTCATCTGACTTTTAAAATTTTACCCTTTTGGAGAGGATGTCTATTGTTACTTGTTATTTTTCACTTGTTATCATCTTTTGTTTTTACATGAAATTATGCTGATCCATCACAATAATATCAGTATTATGGTATCATATAATTTGAAATGATTGTATCATTTTGGGGCACTTTATAATTCTCTCTTCAGATTTTTCTTTTTCTTTTTTTTTTTTTTTTGTTACCAGGGATCAAAAATCTTTGTTTACTTTACCTATGTATTTGCCAATCTATTTTTTTTTGGTGCCAGGGATCAAACTCAGGATCTTGCACTTTTGAGGCAGGTGGCGGAACCACTGAGCTAAATCCCCAGCCCCTAATTCCCATAGACTCTTGTGATTGCTATTCTACTTTTTGTTTCTATGAATTTGCCCATTTTTTTTTTATTAGTATGTGTTGGTAATACACAATGGTTACATTGATTATCAGGAGTTGGTACATGTACATAACACATCTTAGTTTTTTGTTTTTGTTTTTGTTTTTGTTTTTGTTTTTTGGTACCAGGGATCAAACTCGGGACCTTGTGCTTGCAAGGCAGGCAATGGAACCACTAAGCTAAATCCCCAGCCCGCACATCTTAGTTTTTTTAATGGATTCTTTCCCTCCCCCAATCTCTTGGTCCTCTTTCCATTTGCAAGAGATCTACTCTCTATTTCCTCTTACCTGTCTTTTACTTTGTTCTTTATTTATACTTTGGGTTTCACATATAAGAGAAACTATGCTATATTTATTATCTATCTCACTGGTCTCAAGGTGCATCCATTTTCTTACAGATGACTCAAATTTATCCTTTATAGCAGTATTCCATTGGGTATAAATACCACATTTTATTCATCCTTTCATCTGTTGATATCATGTAGGCCACTTCCAAGATTTAGCTATTATGAGTTGTGCTGCTATAAACACAGGTAGGCATGTATCTTTGTAATATGATATCTTTAACTCTTTCGGGAAGATACCTAGAAGGGGAGTAGATGGATGAAATGGAATTTGTAGTTTTACTTTTTGAAGATTATCTGTATTAATTCCTACAATGATTGTACTAGTTTATATTTTCACCAACAATATAGAAAGGCTCCTTTTTCCCTTGCAGTCTGCCCAGCATTTATTATTAGATTTCTTCATGATACCTATTCTTTCTGGAATGAGATGAAATCTCAGTGTTGTTTTAATTTGTATATCTCATGGCCAAAGATGTTGAATATTTTGTAATGAATTTATTGGCCATTTTTACTTCTGAGAAGTGTCAGTTCATTTCAGTTGCCCATTTTTTGATTGGGTCTTTTATTTGGGAGGGGGTTTTACATTTTGGGGGTGGTTGTATTTTTTTGAGTTCTTCACATAGTCTACATTATTAGTCCTCTGTCTGAAGCGTAGCTGGCAAATATTTTTTCCCATTCTGTAGATTATCTCTTCACTCCGTTGATTGTTTTCTTTGCTGAGCAGAAGCTGTTTAGTTTGATATAGTCCCATTTGTTGATTTTTGATGTTATTTCTTGTGTATTTGGGATTCTGTTCACGAAGTCCTTGCCTATTGCTGTGTCATCAAGAGTTTTATCTATTTTATCTTCCAGCATATTAACTGTTTCTGTTTTACTATTTAGATCTCTGATCTGAGTTTGTTTTAATACATGCTAAAAATTATGGGTCTAGATTTCATCTTCTGTGTGTGTATAGCCAGTTTTCCCAGCACCATTGTTAATGGAAATAGTCTCTCTTTCCTCCAGCATGTTTTTCCTTCCTTTGTCAGAGATCAGATGGCTTGAATGTGCCTGGGGTTATTTCTGCATCCTCTCTTTTGGTCCATTGATCCATATGGCTGTTTTTGTGCTAATACTGTACTGTTTTGATCATTGTAGCTTTGTAATATAACTTGAAATCCAGGATTCTGATACCTCCTGCTTTGCTCTTATTGCTCAGGGTTGCTTTTGCTATTCTGAATCTCTTGGTGCCATATAAATTTTAGAGTTATTTTCTTTAGTTCTGTGAAGAATGCTGTTGGTTTTTAAAATTGGGATTGCATTAAATCTATCAGTTTTGGAAGTATAGACATTTTGGCTGCATTGGTTCTGTCTACCCAGGAACAGGGGATATCATTCCATTTTCTGATGTTCTCTTTGATTTTCTTTTGAGAGTACTGTAGTTTTTTTTGTTTTGTTTTGTTTTTTGGTACTGGGGATCGAACTCGGGTCATTGTGCTTGTGCAGCAGGTGGTGAAACTACTGAGCTAAATCCCCGGCCCAAGAGTACGATCGTTTTTGTATAGAGTTCTTTGACTTGCTTTGTTAGGTTAATTCCTAAGTATTTAATTTTTATTGAAGATATTGTGAATGATACTGTTTTTCTAATTTCTTTCTCTGGTGGATTGGTATTCAGGTATTGGTACTGGTATTGGTGTTCAGGAACACTATTGATATTTGTGTGTTGGTTTTGTATCCTGCTACCTTTCTGAATTTGTGTATTAATTCTAGGACTCTTTTGGTGGAATATTTTGGTCTTTTATATAAAGGATCATGTTGTCTGCAAACAAGGATAGTGTGACTTCCTTTCCTTGAGATATCCCTTTTATTTCTTTCTCTTGCCTGATTGCTGTGGCTACAGTTTCAAATACTATCTTGAACAGAAGTAGTGAAAGTGGTCATCTTTGTCTTGTTCCTGATTTTAGAGGAAAAGCTTTCAGTTTTTCTCCATTTAATAAAATGTTGGCAGTAAGTTTGTCATAAATTGCTTCTGTCAGATTGAGATAAAGTCCTTCTATACATGTTTTCTTTAGAGTTTAGAGTTTAATCATGAATGGATGTTGGATTTTGTCAAAGGCTTTTTTTTTGGCCTCTGTTGAGATTATCATATGATTTTTGTCCTTGCTTTGGTTTATGTGATGTATTACATTTATTGATTTACATATGCTGAACCATCCATGTATCCCTGGAATGAAGCCTATTTGATGATGATGCATGATCTTTTTGATGATTTGTTACATTCTGTTTGCCAACATCTTGTTGAAGATGTTTGCATCTGTGTTTATTTAAGAGATTAGCCTGTAGTTTTCTTTTTTAGTTGAGATTTGTTTGGTTTTGGAATCAAGGTAGTTAGTATGGCAGTAGTTCTGGGCTGGGGATTTAGCTCAGTGGTTTCACTGCCTGCTGTGCAAGCACAAGGACCTGAGTTCGATCCCTGGTACCAGAAAAGAAAAAAAAAAAGTATGGCAGTTCTTCTTTCCTTTCAGTTTCATTATAGAGTTTGAGGAGTACTGTATTGGCTTTAGATCTTCCCTGGAGTTCTTGCTTAATTTAGTGGTGAATCCACTGGGTCATGGGCTTTTTGTAGTTGGTAGGTTTTTAAAATTTTTTTACTGCCTATGGTTGGATTATTCAGTGTTTTTCTATATTCTTAATTCAGTTTTGGTAATTCATATGTATCTAGGAATCAATCCATTTCTTCTGGATTCTCCAGTTTATTGTATTAGGGTAGAGCTTTTAGAAGCAGTTACTGTCTTCTGTATTTTGGCAGTCTCTTGTGATTTCACCTTTTTCATTTCTAATTGCATGGATTTGGGTCTTCCTTTTGTGTAAAATTTACTAAGGGTTTGTCTATTTTGTTAATTCTTTAAAAGAACCAGCTCTTCAATTCATTGATTCTCTGTCTTTTTTTGTCTCAATTTCATTAATTTCTGATGTGATCT